TTTTAGACGTCATACAGTAAGCTTTCACTCTGATGTAAATTTTTATTATAGTGTCCCTTTAACATAAACTAAATATTCGCCTTTAGTGTTCCTTTCAACAAAGAAATGTTAAGATGTCACCGACAAGCAGAGAAAGTACTGGAACACTATCATGATAAAATTTATCATAAAGAGCCCTGAAAATTCATGTTGAAGATGTGAAAAGACTTGGGCATTGCATTGTATGGATATCTTCGAGAAAAGTGTGTTTAAGTGCACTGCACAGAAAAAGGAGAGTTACTACTAAATCAAAAATTATCCATCAACCTCTCAGCAATGTTTCCACTGGCACTCTATCCACGTTGAAAGCTACAGAAAGCCAAGCGGCCAGTGCCGTTACTTAGTATTCCACCCACAATAAGAAGAAACCATGGCGCATGGCATCTTTCAGTAATAATGTGATAACCACTTCAGACTTTGGTGTTAACAATTTGCTAAACTTTTGACATTATCACTTCAATTTCACTCAAGTTGGTGTATTTTGTTAGCTCCAACATCAAGCAGAAGTGCACTGAATTTAAAAGGAGATGCAATTTGAAAAAAAAAAAAAAAATGTTTCGTTAGTCTGTAGCCTACGGCAATAAAATTTTCTGCTTTATAAATAGCCTTTTATGCCAATTTCAAGCATTTTATTTTTATTTATTTATTGACAGATACTGCAGGCCCTCCTTGGGCCCATGCAGGAGTGAAATAGTAGAATACAATCAGACCATGGATAGTTATACACTGAATAGCTTGGCATAATTGAAATATTATACAAATAATAGGTACACAACTGGAAAGTAATATCAATATTTAGTACATACTAATTCATGGCAGACAACAGAATTTCACAAAATGTTCTCTTTTCCAATATACAGAAGTCACTTAAATCATACACAAATGAACGTATTTTCAGTATACTATATCACTTTTATAAAAAAACATTTAAACTTTCGACATGTTTCATAGATGAAGCCGTCAAGGCAGCATTTACTGCTTCTGCAGATAACGCATTCCAGTAAAAAATAGCACGAGGAAAGAGAGCGAACTTGTGAGCATTAATGTGGCTAAGTGGCTGCCGGAAAGTTTTTTCGTGATTCGCCCTTACTGAAAGTTTCGAATGTTGCTGAAGATAGCATTCCCGTAATATTTTGAACTCCCCATGTTAAAGTTGGTAGATGAATTTTAATTAGGATACTATCCTAAGTATGTAGTTAGAATTGCAATAAGTTGCAGTTTTTGATTTGTGCCATGACAATGTGTTAAGTATAGTTCGTTTTGGACAAACAATTTATGCCACTAAACTTTTAAGGTTCTTAGCCTTTCATGATTTATATTGCTCTACATTAACTGTACAATGTAAATAACTATAAAGAAATCATTCATAGGACATTTTAATGGACAAGAAAAATTGCAGTGTGAGAACTATTGGAATCCTCAGCCCATAAAAACTTCTTGCTTTAGGTTTGTAATAATTATACAGGAAATATCAAGTTTTAAAGGGGATACTTGCACCCTTTACATATTAAGGAATATGCGGGCAAAAATTTTATCTTGATCTGGCTAATCAGAAGTACCAAAAACATGGAGTCTTAACTGAAGAAGACACCAAAAATTAATCTTGAGGAAAACACATTTAAAAGTACAAGTCAGAGCTTTTCTGTGCGGGAAAGGCATGTTTTTTAAAATGATTTTTCCCATCATGACAGCTTGCCAATTATTGTTATTTTGAGCAAGCGGCTTCAGTGAGAGAGAGAGTAAAACTTTAATGAACTCCTCATGCAAAATAAAATGGCAAGCAGACAGGAGACAATGTCCACGCGACTCTAGACAATGAGCTTTTTTTAGTTTTTTAGTAGCCACCTTGTGCTCTTTATAAGCGATTTTAACCTACTTCGAGTTCGATTACAATCTTCCGTTTTTGTTGTTAAAGTATACAAACGAAACTTGTGAAAGCGAATAAAAACAAATATATATAATTTCAGAAAAGTGTGTTTTTCTACTCACATCTCCCTTAATTAATGAATTACATGCAATTCCTTTTAATAATATTGTAGTTCGGTAGTTGATGAAATATGTTGTTAAACTATCACAGTTATCAAGTTTTGGGGCAATGCCAGTTAGTTTTGAAGCTGATTTTTGTGGTCAAACATCATGGTTATTTGAAATACTTTATTTCTGCTAAATGAAAAATTCCTATTTTCAAGTGGTTTTTACTAAACATTCAATAAGATGAACAGACCAGACTTCCCATACATTATATACATACATATATATATATAGAAAAAGAAGCTGGTTCACATATGAGAAAGCAAGCAATTCCTTTATCAATTTAAGTTTTGGCCGTGGCACGGCCGTAGTCTTATATAATATATATGTGTGGGTATTGGCAGTTGACAGAAACAGAAGTACTTTCTAAGAAAAAAAATTTTGGTCATAGCAGTTTGCAAGTAACACTAGTGTACCTCTTTTGGGGCAATGCCTTCTAAAAAAATTCTCTGTAACGTAAACCGCGAACGTGCTGCCCTACCCTCAGATTTTACCCGCCGCCTCCAGCATGAAAGACTCTGGCAGCTGCCCCCTGCAAACACAGCAATGCCCTCAAAGTCACCTCCGAGCAGCTGTGATGTCACGTGACAGCAGTACCGTAATGTCACACAACTAAGCGGTATGGAGGCGAGCGTTCGCACATGGTGAACGGTCGCAACACGCGGCAAGAAGCATGGCCTCCGAGATTCGCACTAGCGGGAAGCTTCCAATTTAAAAGAGAGCAACATTCCAGGCATGCTTTTTCTAGGCGGTGTTCTTTGGGGGTAAGGAGAGAGAGAGGTGGTTGATGTTGCAGCAGCAGCAGCTCCTCAAGAGAGAGGCCAAACTATGCGTCAGTCTGATGCATCATTGCAGCATGTGACCATCACTCAAAAACACTAATAGTAATCTATAAAAAGCACGATTTTGATAAAAATTTCACCAGATAAAGTGGGACACTTTGTCTGTGTGCTAGAGGACAATCTTTATGCTAGCAAGCATTGCGAAAAGAATGATTGTGCCAAAAAATGTCACCAGATAAAGTGCGACACTTTGTCTGTGTGCTAGGTAGGTAGATAAGTAACTTTATTGATTCACGAAGGAATCATTTGAAAGGGGGTGTGGCAGGGGAAGTGGCAGCAGGATGACGACGGGCCCTCGGGCCGCTCTAAGTAGCCAGACACTGCTCTGCTTCAGCGACCCTTCTGGCCCACCTCACAGTCCGGAGCTGTAACCCCGGTTGCGAGCTGCATAGAGCAGCCTCCCATCGCTCCTGGTGTTCTGACCCTTGCCACGGGGGCTTCGGTTTGTTCGGACAATTCAGAAATATGTGCTGGAAGTTGGCTCTGGTGCTAGGACATAAGTTGCAATGAGGCGAGGTTTCGCCATAAGTAAAAAGGAAGAAAAGAAAAGGAGTCGTCACTGTGGCCGTTTGAAGTCTGCACCACAAAGCCTGGCCACTTCTGGGAAAAGATTTATGTGGTGCGGTGGGGGGATACATTAGGCGGGAATTTCGGTAAAATAGCGTAATATCGTGATAGCTGAGGAGTCGATCCCTGGCACCTCGAAGCGAAGGCTGGTCACTGTAAGCCCGGTTGGCGAGTGCTCGGGCTTGGGTGTGAGCGGCCGTGTTGCCTGGGTGTCCACAGTGCGCAGGGACCCAGAGGAGGGCGATGAGGCGATCAGGTGGAGATGATTCCACAATTTTAGCAGCCGGAGAATGAATTCGGAAAGTGGCGAAATTACGAATTGGACTTTTTCAATCTGAAAAGATATACTCTACGGAGGAGTGAACAATGGCTAAAGCAATTGCTGCCTCCTCTGCTTCCAGGGATTCCGTCGAATTTGGAAGGGATGCACTAGCGACCAGTTTTTAAACTCCGTCTACAACGGCTACAGGGAAAGCTCGACGACTTACATATTCGGCCGCGTCTACATAGACTGCGGGAGAATTAGGAGGGAAGCGCTTCTGGCTCAAGCTTCCCGTCGCGCCCGATTATGTTCTGGGTGAGTATTTTTTTGGTGAGTGGCGGGATTAATAGGTTGCTGCTAACAGTCACGGGAACTGCGTGCGAGGCCGTGGTGTGACCAGGAACGTTGATTCTAAGTCGGCACAGGAGTTAGAGGACAATCTTTATGCTAAGAAACATTGCAAACTGCGTGAGTAGGTACAGGTTCATCTTCTAGCAAACTGTACGGCAAAACACAAAGAAGGAATGAAAAAAGACCGACTGCCCTCGTTTGCCTCCTTTCATTTCGTTTTTGTTCCCCAACTGCTGTGCAGCTTGCTAGAAGACTTTTTACGCTTATGCTTTCTGATGTTGCAGCGAAACAAGGAGAACTGGTCAGCAGTTAATTGCATTCCTCACAAGCCAACAAATGTTTGTGGTGTGTGAGCAACCAATTCTGAGAAAGAGGATAACATTGGCTAGTTGAGATGATGTTACTGTCGCAATATAAGCAGCCCACTGCACAAAAAACAGGGTTCCCGGTTAAAGGATTTGCATTTCTGTAGGAGATCATGTTTTCTCAATGCTTAAGCTGTCTGTAGATATAAGTGCCACTACTTTGTGCAACTGACTTAACTCTGCCACCCATGACCTAGTCAAGCTCTCAGTATAAGAAAAAATGCAGAAATATGTATACACACTTCTTTTCTTGCAAGAGTGACTTGCCTATGCTCAGTGATTTGAAGTACCACAATATTGATCCCAAGCCTTCCATTTTCTTATGCATATTAGTACATTCAAAACACATCTACGTTCCTGATTCCATGACAAGCGGGCACATTCACCAGTATACTTCACTCTGTCCTGTTCCCCTTGCTTGGCCAATCAGCATACAGCAAAAGTGACATGCTAAAAAGCTATCAAGAACACTGCTCTTTTTTATAGCAGGACACCCAGTTCAAAGATATAACAAAAATGACCACAAAACTGTGGGTTCCTTACGTTATTGTCTCTTCACTGGGGCCTGTTATCTGCACGAGCCTGTCCCGCACACCTGGATTGACTGAAACCAAAAGCACAACGTCAGACAAAAAGTTACAATTTTACCATGGCAAATTGCAGCAGCAGCGACAGCCCAGTTTTCTAGCAACTTCACAAATACAGCATTCAATGCAATTCAAAAATGCAAAATTCAGGCGCATTTGCACTAAACATGAGATGCACTGATGCCAAATAAAAGCAATATTTGGTGACTAGGGCACTAAACTAAAATCACTCATGCAAATCCTACTGTAGAGTAAATGCAAGCACATTTCTGCCTTTCACAACTAAATAAAAAAATTGCATACACATACACAAACAAAGTAAAAAAAATTGGGAGCTACATGTGAAAGACAGCTGCAACTACCATGTGCAGGTTATGGTAGATGTGTGGTACGATGGCGAATCAGATTCCCTTTCCTCAAAAGACTCCAAAGAAGCTTAGTTTAATAAAGCATTATTCATTAAACGCATTTTGACTCATTCCATGTATAGATTATTACTGTGGAATTCCCTCTCTTCCGCGTACATTTAAGGTTTGTTCCATCAATCCGTGTGTGTTTCAGTTTCACATAAGCACTATTTGTATAAAGTATGTAAACCTAAAATGCAATGCAACAACTTCATGCATTCATTCTATATTTCTTTTTGTGGGGGTTCACTTGTACATTCATGGAAAAATGACCTTTCCAAATGTTTTTAACATTCATAATCTCATATGTGCTCATACATTAAAGTAAGTTTAGTGTATATCCGATGCCTACAAAGTGAAGCAAGTCAAGTTGTTGGACTAGTCGATTCATACGTATAGCAAAGTTCTATACAGCAGAAGCCAATTGTTATGTTCCCGGGTGCTGCATTTTCTTGGCTGTTGCGCTGTTTTCAGCCAGACCCAGCATAGTTTCCCCAAGATATAGTAATGCATATTGGGAACTTCTGTTATATTGCAACTGTACCACCATTCCAACATTTCGAATTGCAAACTGGCTCTCTTAAATGGCATAAGCGGCCATGTTGACGTTTTGTATCCCTTGGCTTTATCTGCTTAGTAGCTTAATGACTGAACTGGCTGCCAGAAGCAGTGAAGAGGACATCTATAAAGCCTGCCACCAAAAACACGACCTGCATTTCTCCAATTTAGACATGGTGTCAATGTGCATTTGGGTGCTAAAAAATAGTTTTGATGTATATAACAAAGGTACGGACTTCGGGATCAGCTTTTGCTGCCAAGAGTCATCCTGTTTGCATGGAAAGGGTGCTGTAGGGGGGGAAGCTCGTTATTGTTATCATTATTATGAGAAACGCTTATGATCTTATTGCATTTCCTGTCTCTCTCTAGTTGGCTGTCGTGTTGGTCGTATTGCAGGAGTAATTGGGTTGATCGAGCGTAACTGCACCGGATTTGTAGTGGGAAATTGCACACAGTGATGACGGCGAAAGCCGCATGGCACTGCAGGTGCTTGAGATGCCCTGCACTAATTGGGCACAAGAAAATGTGCCAGTAAATGCTGCACAATTTCTTCAAGCAAAAGATTTAGAACAAAATTGTGTCCTTCTCACCACTACTCTAATAACTTATTCCCCCCTCCCCCCCCCCCTTCCTCCATTCAGCTGTTTCTCTAGAGTCCTGTGAAAAACGTATCAGCAGGGTTTTACCATACAGTGCTCTGTCTGTGTTCCTGTTTTCATCTGGTCTTCTTCGTGCAGTATAAAAATTTGCTGAACCTACGAACTGTTACGGTTGATTCTGCAGTTGAGAAACCTTGGCAACACTGCAAGGCTAGTAAATGTAAAATTTTCTGATAAACAGCTTTTAAACAGCACCTAAGCATATGATGCACACAGTTCATGGTTAGCAACTATGACACGAAGTTGAGAGCCCCACCTAATCTCAAACGTGATGCGTTAATTCTGCCAAACACTCATGACAGGGCTTCTCTGAGTTACAATACCAAAAAAAAGGCCACTTTTGTGTTGTTTTCTCACACTTCGAATGAAATATAAAATGTACAATATCGCATGGAGAGAGAGAGAGATAAAGATGCAAGGAAAGGCAGGGAGGTTAACCAGACGCACATCCGGTTTGCTACCCTGCAGGCTCCTATATATCTACCCCATCTTAAACTAGGTTTTATAAGTGGTCACAAATTTTTGTTTCAGTTGGCCTTTAACAGGTACTAAAACCACTGAACACTTAATAAAGACTAACAAGCAACTAAGCTATATGAAAAGTAGCTATCTCTATGTTTCATGAATAACAACAGCATATTGTTAGGCAGTTATCTGGTATTCTAGTTTAAAAGAGACGTAGGGAATTACAGAGAGGTGGGGCAGTACAAACCACTCTCTCCACCATCCAGAGAATTCATTTCATCATTTGCTCTATTATGCATCTCATCATGAGCAAGCAAGCATGAATTCAAATAAAAGTTGAATAGCAACAACTTTATGTTGGCAAGCCTGGTGAAGGTTTACCACAAAAATATAACTGTAGTCTCAAATTATAGTGCAAACTTTAAAAATTATTACACGCATACAGGCCATAAATGTACACCCAATAAGCTTTTTCTAAGCATAACTGTAATGGTAAATGCTTAAAGGGAACATTTAAAAAATTATTACCTGACAACATTACTTAACAGCAGGTCAAGGACACACAATTTCCACCAAACACTATAAATATGCATTAAGCAAAAACCAGAAGTGTAAAATGTAAAAGAAGTACAAAAAGTAGGCATTCTTGTGCAGTGGTGTCATCAACCTTTTATAGAGATGCATTCTGTTTTTACTGCAATATGCACAAACAATCAGCAGTACATCAAAAGAGCTTCATCCTATTAGAATAGTTCAACACACAGCACTAGAACTGCAAATAGCTGCTTCATTGACCAGTGGCTTAGAACCACATCAAGACCAACTAGCAGCAGTGTGACATGCCAAGGGGTTTTGTCAAAGCATAGCAGGACAAGCCAAAGGTATCAGCGGCACTAGTGTGCAGGCTTGGGCAGCATTGCTGCAGTGAGAGGAGCTCAAGCGCCGGTGATGGGAAGGGTGAGTGAGTCAGTTGGCAAACTGCCACGCCGTGCAGTACATCACCTCGCTGGAAGGAGATCACCGTGTCACTCAGCTCTTCAATCATATGAACACGACGCCCCTTGATGCCCATCACTTTTTCCAATGAAGACAAGGAGTGTGTTTGGAGGCAAAGAAACAAAAGCACGCTCATATCAGACAGTTAAAAATGAGCTGGAAGAAACACAGCACTCCCAGATTCACCACATCCTGCCCCTGTTATTGGGCGAATGTTCAGATAGACACAAGAAATACTTTCTGGGAGTTGAACACTACGAATTCGATTCAATAATGCCATAAAACCATCCCTGACAAACTTGTAAAACAGAGAAATTAATGCACCACATGGAGTGTCACTGCAATGCAGCCTTATCAGGAGAATATCAGTAATCCTGGAGCTCTCTTTATTGCATTCCACTGAATGCTATTACCAATACTGCCAAAATGCTCACCCAGGGTGCCATTTATAACTTGTCATGAGTGTATCTTTGCCACATTTTGCTTCACTGTTGTTTAATTATTTACTGTGTTGTTTCATTCAATCCAGTCTGCATCTGTACCACTTTGATACACTTTTTTGTAGAGCATGTACAAGTACAGCATGGGCATGTATACTTTTTTCTCAAGGAATTAACATAAAGAAGGCCAGTGGTAGGAAACTGTTTTCCTTTCTTATTAACTAATGAAAGTACAATCAAATGCTCATCACTGCTTTAGTTACAACATTGCAGCATTCAAGCACAGCATTGAAAGAAGACAGGAAGAAAAAAGTAAGGGAGGCCTTACTTTACTCCTTTTACCACAGCACACTGAAACAGTAAGACTCTTCCCAAAAACTCTGTATAGAAAAGCCATAAAGTGACAGTAAACATTAGATCAAAAGCTACAAGTAAAAACTTAAACAATAGTCAAGTATTTGTGCTCATGCTTGATCTGACAAAGCTTGCCCTTGCCCCTGATTATTACATTATCATCATGTGTATAAGCATCCAAGCTGTGCAATCAAAATCATAGAATGCTGACAACAGCATAAAACACATATAAAGCATGGCACACTTGTTAATAAAAATGCATAAGGGAAATGAGGGGGTACATGGCCCTTGCAGTGACAGTGGTTGTAGTCGCAGTACAAGAGAAGTTTAAAATAAGGACAACATGTTGCAATAAAATAAATATTCATTACTGAATGATGGAGTGAAAACTAACACAGCTCAGGATTAGAGTCAATATGAAACAATTCTGTTTTGCTCTGGTTCCTGTTCGATGTAAAATAAAATGAATGTGCTATGAATCAACCAGTTTGACCAGTTAAGGGCAACTGATTCCTGGAAATTCGTGCTACACAAAACACTGACTTCAATAAGGTGTTAAGTCATTCATCACACAAGACTTGCCTTTTCATGTGCTAGTATGTGTATATGTAAAACTGCCAACTGTTGTGTATGAAACAGATATCTACAGCAGCAACAGGTCAAATTGTCAGCTGCTCTGATGATAACGTGTCTGCTACAAAATGGGTAGCCATAATTCGCTGTACCAACTGCAGCGGTTTCCATAATTTCAGTCCCAGACGAACATTATCTGCCCTCACAGGGTTTTACGAAACAACCTCTGATTCAACAAACAGGGTGGCTCTGTGCCAATCAAATGAGTCAGAGTCAGGTCGCCTGTCCTATGAACTACATTAAATATATTTTTTATGAGATAGCAGTGAAGAGAAAAATTCTAAATGACCTTATAACCATCTTCTTGGCAACCATATCGAGCGTGATCATGTTTCAAGATTTCACACATGAACAAAAAATAATGCGTCAGTAACAGAATAAGTCTCTGTAATGCACTCCACAATACTGAGGTAACAATAATGGAAGCAGCACTACTGCCATTTTGGCTTGAAGTACTTTGACTGTTTCAGCAAGCTATTTTAATCATGAAAACATGGCCTAAGAGGCTTCATATTCATAACTACTTAAAAACTATTCGCCTGAGTCATATGTGGAAGTCTCGCTGAGTAAACGGTCTTGCTTTTGATGAGTAAGGACACCTTAGAGGAAGCACAATGTACTCTATCTGTGCATTTTTTCTGCTTAACTAAAAGGACCCGTAACAGTCTCCAATATTTTTAAAATTTAAACGCACGCATCATGTGCAAAATGCCATCACGATCAACGATTCTACACGCAGTGCTATGAGCTGCCGGCGCGCCACAAATTTCAGAAAACAATCCCTCCTTCTTTCCGGGCCTATCGGGCTTCCGCGTCACATGCCGTTCGATGTCTTTGACGCGGCGAGCCAAATATGCTGCGATTGGTCGAACAAGAGCCTACGACTTCCGGTTAGTCTGCAAGCAGCTGTCCGCGGTGCTTGTTGTTGTTCGTCGTGTTGCCCGCGTGCGTGCAACACGTACGGGGCACGACGTGTCCTCGAACGAGTCCATCATGTTGGTGATCCTTTGAAGGCGTGCGCACAATACAGAGTCCATACCAGCACAATTACGACAGCCACTGTTCGCCAACAAGCACGCAGCTACACTGCAACTGATAGAGTCGACGACCGGAGTCACGGCAACCACAAGTAGACGGAGTTTGAAACAGAACGTCAGCGATGACGTATGCCACGCGAGATTGGGAGGGGCATCGGAGGGGCACTTGGCAAGAGGGAAAAGCGGCTTGAGAGAGGATACCAGCGGAGGGGAGCGCAGGAGAGAGCGAAAGGAGTGATCGTAGTAGTTTCGACAATCGAACGCGTCTAACTCCGCTATTACTACAACGTTTCGAAAAATGCTCACGGCTCTGTGTTCGTCGTACTCTCGTGCACACTTTCCCTCCACCACAACTGAATTTTGATCTTTGGGTGGTTTACGGGCCCTTTAAAGCATGCCGTACCAAGAAAGCGATATTTCTGGGCATATGTAAATAGTAAATTTTAGGCTCGAAGCAAATAGTGATTTAATTGGAATAGTATATCTCACATAGTATAAAGGCAAAAAAGCATATTTGTCATGACCCAACTAACATGCACAATATTTTTTTATTGAAATAAGGCTTGCGCAATTGTCATTATTTTTGTTTCAAAGGCAGTGGAAGTAACTTTGCCTTTAGTAGAATGCAAGTAATAACCTGTAAAATAATTTGCGCTTAAAAATTTACTATGCTTAGAGCTTATAAGCTAACATAACAAGCTTTTAAAATAAAAAGAAACTCGATGAAAAGGTAATATGGTCATTTAACATTGAAGAAAAACTTCACGGCAGTGTGGATGTTTCCTGGATAGGTGTATTCACAGTAAAGCATACCTTCACGGCAGTAAAACCGTCTTTGCAAAAAAAGTTACCTGCAGGCTAATACTATACACACATTTGTGCATCTCGAGTACTTCGAAATGTAAAATATTTTGAATTCGGATTGAATCAAGTTGTAAAATGATAATACTTGTTTGAATACTCGTACAAGCCTAAAAATTTCTACTCCAGCTGCCCCGCATCCAACTTGACTGCGTCCTGAAAAACTCCTCCATACACATAGGTCATGTGGCAGCAACCTTATCTGCAGAAATGCTTCATGCACTACACAAAAATGACTGAAACTTTAAAGAAACCTGCATGCATTTCCCCTTCTGGATTCAAGATTATTTGCACATGCCCCCTACAAAAGATTTACTGCTTTCTATGTCAATTAATATGGCAAATGACTTTAGTAACCTCATCCGATGCAGAATATGCAACCCTGTCTATATAAGTACACTGCAAAGAAAGCTCATGAGATAAATGCGACACAGTCCCATGGAGAGGATATGGGAAAAGGCAGGAAAAGAACGCCGCTTGCGATTGCTAGACGAGGCAAATAAGAAAACTCAGTTGCCAGAGAAGCTTGCCTCTGAGCTGCATGTCAGCACTACATCCCAATTTCTTCATCTTCGATAACACTGAACCAATAAAAAATATTGTGGTAAATCACTTCCTGGACAGCCCTTAACTTCCACTGAATAAACAAAATTTTCTAAGAGGCCTGCAAGGTTCACCATTCCTACACTATCACCATCCTCCAATTTCTAAAGGCACATAGTTGAGAGCTAGCATTGATTTATCTACTTTTCAATTTTGCATGAATTAAGTGGCTATTCGAGGAACCCTTCAGAAGAGTATTTAATGCTATTTCGAAGAACAATTTACCGGAAAAACTCCACTGAAGAATCACAACCTTGTCTGGAATTAAAGGCTACTTGACAGGACCTGTCCTGTCAACCGATCAGCAGATAACAGCCTGTTTTTGTTCGTCCAGGAATAATAACAGCCTGTTTTTGTTCGTCCAGTATTGCTAGATTTCTCACGCACAATAATGAGCTTCAGAAATCCATTCTTGATCTTTATATTTTTTTTATTAATCTAAGTGACCTCCCTAGTTCTCCTACTAACACTGAGACTATCATATAGAGATTGTGTCACTATACTAGTACCAACCATTAAACAACTGTTCAAGTAGACTAACTCAAATGTGATTGCAAAATATATTGAATTAGTGCTGCAACAATGGGCTAATGATTAATCCTTTAAAATACCATACACATTTATCATTGAATTCTTTATTTAAATCTGATATGAACCATGAAAATATTTCTTTTTCCGAGGCTGATGAGAACTCCTTCCTGGGAGTTACGCTAAGCTTCAACACTGCACTTCCAGTGTGAAAATCACATTGCATACACTCAGTGAAAGTTGGTGTATGGTGTAGGAGATAAACTGCTAAAGCAGATCATTATTATTAAGATGCCAACACCAATTAAATAATAGTTAACTGATAGCCACCTTATTCCTGGATCTCCTCATAGAGAAACTTCCATCCAACTAAGCAGATGCCACTACAGCAAGGTAAGAACTAGGTACTAGGTAAGGTAAGTACTAACATTCAAACATTCAATTCTAATGTACCCATTTACTCCAAAACTTCAGAATCCTACCTGTAGCGAGAATGCTTAAAGGGACACTAAAGGCAACCAACCATAAAGTCAACGTTGATTGTTGAAATATTAGTCCAGAAACCTCGTAGTGTTACTTTTGTGCCAAGGAAGGGCCTATTTCAATATAAAATCACGTTTTA